AATACCCAATTGTTTATTCTACTCAATCAAATTAGTCACAAGTCTAGCCAGTTTTACTTGTGTCATGGTTTATCTCAGGCTAGATTTAATCAATATGAAATTTTCTTTATTTACTTGTAACGGGGATGGATAAAGTCAGAAGAATTCTGAATGACAAAGGTGTTGGAAAAGCGAAGATTGTAAGCCTTTTTTTTTTATATACATCTATTTCCAAACACGTTTTAGGTTGAGAGGGCTCGGAATCCGTAACATCAGTTCTGACGTAAGTTGCCCCGTCATCTGATAAGCCGATATGAAGATTCACGCAGGATTACAGCGAGTCTCTCGAGATCATTTTTTCGACAAGTGAAAAACTGGAACACAGGAAATTGAACAATGAGCAGATGCTGAAATCGTTCTTCTATGAAATTAATGGCTGCGTTAACAGTTTCAGTCAAGAAGCTGGCATTGTTGGTTTGCTGTGGAACGAACTGTAGATTAATCATAACTTTTGTGTGTTCTTTGTTTTTTTCCTGCTCTTCTAAATCTTCTTCAGTAATCTTCTTCTTCCACTAATCATCTCTTTGTAAAATGTTCAACAGTCTTATACTGATGAAGGAAACCTTTTCTTATTTTTTGTCGTAGTTGCAAAATAACTCGAGACAATTATTATTTTGCGTCTGTCTTCTGGTGAAATTGGTCTCATCCAACAAGTCGTGGACAATATTAGCCACAAGTTTAAAACTTGGCATCTTATTCCCGCATCAGGATCCGACTTTGTCCGATTAGCACTTATAAAGGTGTTGTCTTCTGCAATGGAGACCTCGCACGTCTGGTATCGAACTCTACCTGCAGCACCTTTCCCGCTACGTGTGATTGAAAGCCTACACAGTTAAATAAAATATTTGTTGCTGCCATGGTTACCAACACTGACTTCTAGTATAAAAGTAGACGTCACTATTTCGGTTCAACCGAAGGTTACATCAGGATCCAGAGTGTACATTGCATGATGCAAAAAGAGGTCACTGATTCAATTTTTTATAATATTTTTCAAACAACAGTGCTTGTCTCTCATGGTGGTTCTCTTATAGTCATATCTTGGTCTTGTAAGACTTCAAGGGGCATCGTCATTACTTGAAGAACACGTTTAGTCATAGCGAAACTATTTGTGTTTTTCAGTAGTAAAAAAATCTGAGACGAAGCTCGTGTGACTTGTGTATGGAATACAGTCAAACAGTTACGAGTAATTGTGACTTGTGTATGGAATACAGTCACACAGTTACGAGTAATTGTTACTTGTGTATGGAATACAGTCAAACAGTTACGAGTAATTGTGACTTGTGTATGGAATACAGTCAAACAGTTACGAGTAAGTGGGACATGTGTATGGAATACAGTCAAACAGTTACGAGTAAGTGGGACATGTGTA